AGTTACGGGAAGTTAATTAACAAACGGAGACGTAACACCACATTATAGACGTCGTACATAAAAACGAAACCTTAACTTTTAGTTTATGAACGAAAAATGAGAAATACGTGAAATATAAAAAACTTCATGAAAATTCGAAAGCACATACAAATATATAATTGTGATTATGCACATATATAATGATTAATGTGACAATGACAAAAGTTTAGAAAAGAGACAATCCCTTTATGAATAAAATAGTTAATGAACAAGGATGATAAAAAATGCTCTTAGCCATGTCTTGTTCACACACACTTGAATGGCACATTAAATATATCAAGTGTATATCCACACACAAAAAGGAAATTTTAACTACGTTTCAAAACACACAACATTCTAGCCCCCTGCTCTTACACACACACACACACACTTGCATGAATGAAAGAGCAAGGGCATTATCATCATATATAGAAAAACCAATGTACACACATGCTTAAAAAATTGCTAGGCCTCTGTCTTCCGTGTACACTCATGAGTATAGAAGACAGGGTCATTTTAAATTAAAATATGAAAAGACAAATATACATATCTGTATCAAACAATTTGTAATAAATGAACTGTTTAGAGTATTTACACTCACTACAAAGTATTTCCGAGGCTTCTCTACAACTGATCTTAACCCCACCAACAGAGTTTCCAGGGCTGTGATGATTTTGCGGTTGGCCACTACTGGGGCCTGTAGATCCTCCTGAGCCACGGATATGGTCCTCATGGGATTGTCAAGCCTGGCCCACAGGCAACTCACCTCTTCCTTGTTCCATGGCAGAGGAGTTGCCCTCTGCCAAGGCAATCCTCCTCTCTGTTGTAAAGAACCTATACTTCAGTGCAACTGGTGGCTATCTCCTGACAGTGCCTTTTGAGCATTGGGATCTGCTGTAGCGTTAGGGGCTTTTTTATTACCTTGAGTGACCTGGTAGGGAGCCCCATGCTTATTGTTCTTGGGACAGTTTTTAGGTTCTCTTGGCTGTTAACTCTACAATGTAATGCATATGTCATGCCTTCCAATACTACTTGTTGGTTTGGAGAGTAAAGGTCACAATGATCTTTCAGTCAGTAATCTTTTAACTACCTGACCATCCTATCTAGTGTTCATCAAGCAGTCCCACACATATCAATTGGAAGATCATGGTCAGCATCTTATCTAATAGTCAGAGCTGTCTACTGCTTCTCTATCAAGCATCTTCTAATCTGGTCAGTGACGTAGCAAGGGTTCTCATCACCCGGGGGCAAAGACACTTTTGGTGCCCCTACCTCTGAAATGTTTTGATTATTTGTTTTGTGACTCATTACTCCACTTAATGGCAATAACATAAAGAATTAAGTACCGCCTTTCACAGGCCTAAAATAAAGTCACAATGTAACATCTCATGATATCACAACTGTAAACCTGGAACTAATGAAGTATAGCCTATTAGGTGTACTTACATAATTTGTAAACCATTTTGATATTTATGTCATCCGGTATTGTTCAAAGTCACATAGCTAGAGTAATATTTCAAACATGCAAAATAAATTTCTGTTATATTCCTAGTTTTGAAACTTATGTTTTATATTAGAAGCCAGTCACTTGTGGTGTACATGGATTATAAAACAGATTGATAAAATACTACTTAAGTTTACAAATAACAAATTTTATTAGTTTACAAAACTGTACATATACTTAATTAGATCTTGTATAGCTAGCATTCTGGTATTCATGGTTACATTATATGAACCTTTTGTGCTTTTGCTGCTGCAAATGCATCAATTAAGCTATCAAAATTTAAGGTGTTAAGTACGTCTTTTTCAATACTTAATATTGCCAAGTTACTAAGTCATTCTTAAGTGATTGAGGTTCTCAAGTATGTAAGAATTAATTTCAGCTTGCTGAAGGACCTTTCACAACTAGCAACAGAAACCCCAATTGTTAACAAAATCTGCTATAATTTCATATGGTGAAGATGTTTTCCCAAATTTAAGAATTGCATAAATGTTAGCAAATCAGTTGCAACCATTGGTTTAGAAAAATCGGTCTGTGTTGTTTTACTTATCAACATTCTACAGTCTTTAATTTATCTGTACAATTCTGGTCCATCAATATCACCTGGATAGCTCTTTGCTAAGTCAGAACATTTTTCTTGCAATTTTCCGTCTTCTAAATCTCCAGAAACAATATTTTACACTTCTAGTAGAAATCCAAACCGTAAATCTAAATCTAGTAAGGGAGAAAATCTTCCTGTTATTTCTGTAATCAAGCGGTCAGTAACATCCTTCATGATGCGATAAGTTTCCTGTTCAGGAGTCAATCCAGCATCAGCTGCATTTTCACCTGGCATTCGTATACGACGTATTTTTCTTCTTTCAATGGTCAATCCCCATGTTTCACATTGATTCTTGCCCACTTTAAGTGTTTCTTGACAGGACTTTTCACGTGATTCTATAAATTTCTCTGTCAAAGAATCAAGATCAGCAGCTGCTTCTCTAAAATTCATTTTTGGGTTTCTGCACTCGATAGATAGGTGATAAAAGATTTCTCCAAAAATGCAAAAGTACAAGAAAATCAAATTTAAGCATGCGTTGCAGAATATTATGAGAACCACATTTTGTTTCAGCCGTGTTGCCATTCTCACTTAATTGCTCTAACAATCCTAGCAATCCATCCAGTTTTTCATGTACAACTTTTACTACCTTTTCTCTTGCACTCCACCATGTTTCTGATTCACGCTTGACAGAGATCTTAAGCTCCTGCTGCAGTTCGTCCCATCGAGTTGTTGAATGAGCAAAGAAATTATAAATGGCTTCATTTGTACCAAAAAAGGCAATAACTGTTGTTTCCTGACTTGCAGCATGAAGACATGCTAAGTTCAAACTATGGTTGTCACAGTTTATAGACACTGCTTTTGGATTTTTGTTCAGAATTCTTTGTTGAACGCCTGACAGATGACCTGACATGATAGCAGCATTATCATAACATTGTGAACAACAATCACTCAATAAAATTCCATCCGCTTCTAAATTTGTGCTTATTGTTTTCTCAATATTGGCAGCGTCTTTTTCCTTTATCTCTATAAGTCAATAAATGACTTTTTGACTTCTACTTTTTTGTCTTAAAGTCAAT